AGTTTGGCCGCATAGACCTGGGCGATGCGCCCAAACCTACTGGACCGCCTAGGCGCTGGGTGGTCCACAATATATATATATATATATATATATAATCACTTGAAATTTTAGGCGTGTGTTCATCAAAAATAAGTGAATCTTCGAAAAATATCAAAAAAATATTTTACATGAAATAAATTGACCAAAATACTCCTGAAAAGTTTCGACGGGTATTTTGGTTATTTTGTTTTCGCAAATAATTTTTTTTATATTTTTATTAGGTGCGCCTTGATGAGAAGAATACACACCTAAAATTTCAAGTGATTTGGATCTGTAGAAAAATAAACTAAAATTCAAGCACCACCGGACATCCGTGATTGTCAGATCGGCCCAGATTCAATCTGGGCCGTTGGGTTCATATGTTCATATGATCTGGTGGGCTAATCCCATCTTTTCTCATATATATATATATATATATATAGATAGGTATATGAGTAAACTTTCCAATAGCTGGGTAGCTATAATGAATAGTAATATAGGAGGAATCCCAGTTGTCAGATCTTCATTATGTGATTGATAATACATATCACTATTTTAATTTTAATTTTTTTTTGTAAATCTGATTACGATGAAAATTTGGGTGTATATACCTAATACTATTACACACGATATAAAAATATAAAAAAATGACCGAAAAATACCCTCAAGGAGCCACATTTTTGCCCCTAGGCGGCCCGCAGGACCTGGGCGGCCATCTAGGAGGGTTCAGGCGGGCGCCTAGGCGGGGCTCTTAGGCAGGCGTCCAGGTATATCCGTCTAGTTTGGCCGCCTAGGTCTGGGCGATGCGCCCAAACCTTTTGGACCGCCTAGGCGTTGGGCGGTCCGCTTTATAAAACTATGCAAACACACACAAACATAGAGCCTAGGCCGAGAGACGAGTTCTCCAGTGTGGACCGAAATGGTCTCGCGAAGCCGGTCCTCAGATGGTGTAAGTCCTTCTCTAACTTGAAGAGCAGCAAACCAGATTGTAATAGAGTAGAGATGTGCGCGTATGCCGCACTTCATTTATGGGACTAATCAGGGAAGACGGTGAGTTCACCCGAAGTAACAAGCTAAGTTGTTTTTGGTAAATGTGGTATCTTATATAATTTGTTGTGTCGCCTATAGAAGGAGTTTCTACCTAGTCTACTAACTCACGTAAATACGGGTTTTGCACATCGATAAATAGAGATTGTCCCGGGCATGCAATATGCTTTATAAAGGAAAGGGTTGTTGGCGAGTTACGATTATCGGCAAGTGAGATAGCAGGAAGAAGTAGGTTTAATGCAACGATAGGTGAAAGTTATACCCAGGCTCAGAAGGAGGATAGGCTATTTTCTCGTTAAGCTTTCCTGTTCGAGTAGGCATAGGAACAGTTAGGCCATTCTAGTTTAGAGCTAAGCTTCCCCAATGGGCAATTAGCTATAGCAGGAAGGACCATGCGCGCAAGGGAAGCGAGTAAGGCTGCTTGCTGGCTTCAGACTAAAGCAAGGCATAGAATGAGCTAAGCAAGTAAAACAGATCTACGAGCTCAATCCCTCTTACCTGCTACTGCGCTCGAAAACAAGCTAGCGCTACCTTATAGAGCTGTAAGTGAATTCAGGTAGCGCTTAGTGTTAAGGAAGAGATTGTCCTTTACTGTCTTTCATAGCATTGTATAAGGTATTTTTTCATAACATTGTATAGGGTATTTCTTTTCTTCTTTACCCTCAAAATGTGTAAGTGTAGTTCGTGGGGATCAAGGAGGGTTCTCTTTCTCTCTCTAGAGTTTTGGTAATTTTACATGGCCTCTAAACAAAGATTGAATCTGTAAGTGCTTCCTCTCTCTCTACAAACCCATTTCCATTTAGCGTTCTCTCTCCAGCGTTCTCTCTCCAGCGTTCTCTCTCTCTACAAACCCATTTCCTCTCTCTCCAGCGTTCCCTTTTTCTAGCGTTCCCTTTTTCCCTAGCGTTCCCTTTTTCCTTGTATTGTCTTTTTTAGGGCATCCTATACTATTCCATTTTGAATTTTGAGGGGAAAAAGGGGGCCTAAAAACAGGAAAAATAGTGGAAAAAAGGAGAGTTGTGGCCTCTGCAACTTCGTGTTTCCTATGCTAAATGCAAATAAGGTATTGGATTCTTGTCAAGTCTTGAGGCTCCGTGGCTTTGCAAATCTCACACCCATCAACTGTCATTGGGTAATCAATATTCAGCAAACTGAGGGTTTACCTGAACAGCTAAGTAGGAGATTGAGATTCTGATGCACTAATTGATTAGAACTCAAGTTCCATCATGGTTGCCACTGTGGCTCTTTCCTATGCATTTCTCCCGGTCGGGTCTTCTCTCTCCTTTTAG